CCCCAAAACCCCAAAACCCCAAAACCCCATAGGCTATAATAAAGGATAAGTTTGATGTGTAAATGGAATTAAACTTAAAAATATGATGAACAATGTATCATGGATGAATCGAGTTTATTAGTCTTCAAAAACTAAACTTATAAGAAACAGAGCATTGATATTTAACAGAAATTTACCTATGATGAGAATGCGTCTTCATGAATATCAAGCTGCATAGCTTATGCTAAAGTACAGAATACCTGTTCCTCTTGTAATTTTACTGAAATTTTGATTTGATTAGGGAACTGTAGCATTTAATGCAAAGGAAGCTTATATTATTGCTAGAAAATTTGGTCCAGACTACAATAAAAAGTTTGTTGTAAAAGCATAAGTAAGCTTTACTAAATCATGCTTTTTAGATTTAAGCTAGCGGCAGAAACAATGGATATTTCAAAGAAAATGCATTTTAGGGAGGAAATCATATTGTTTCAACTCCAGAAGAGGTTTAAGAATATGCAAGATAGATGTGCGGCAAAACTTTAGTCTGTCCTGAATCAGGGAAGCAAGGATTCCTTTGTAGATGTGTATACATATTGGAGGAATTGGCAATATACAAAGAGCTCTATGTATGCGTGACTTATGATAGAAATCAGTAGTGCCCTGTTATTATTTATAGTGATGAAGGGGGAACTAATCTTCATGAAGCTTAAGAAAAACGTCCTGAAAAATTTCATAAGATTTATGTGGATTTCTAGAAAGGATTAGATGTATAGTTATTGTCACAAGTTGCTACAGAGTTAGGAATAGCAGAAAAAAAATCTGAAATGATTTTCCTCCTCAAGCATTTATATGATTGCTTTATTCAACGGGACGCTGAAATGATAGAGATTAATCCTCTTGTTTATACAAAAGATTAGAAAATAGTGGCAGCTGATACAAAAGTTATCATAGATGATAGTGCTCTATTTAGATAAGCAGAACTCAAAGAAGAGGAAGATAGGACTCAAGTGAATTTCAAAGAACGTATTGCTCACACATACAATCTACAATATATTCATATTGGAGGTAATATTGGGATCTTAGCAAACGGTGCTGGTTTAGCTATGGCTACTTGTGATATCATTAAATTATATGGAGGAGAACCTTCAAACTTCCTCGATACTGGGGGAGGTGCTTCACATGAATAAATTGCTGAATCAATAAAACTTTTAGAAACTGATGTAGAAGTTTCTACTATATTCATAAATATCTTCGGTGGCATCATGAAATGTGATATGATCGCATAATCAATAATCAGAGCAACGGAGGAATTAAATACTAAAAAACCTATTGTATTGAGACTAAAAGGAAACAACTCAGAACTTGCAAGAAATATGATAAAGGGCAGAGAGGAATAGCTAGGAATATATTTTTGCGAAACAATGGATCAAGCTGCTGAGTTAGCTGTGGATTTAGCTAAAAAAGAAAAAGTAGAGGAATAAAAGCTAGAAATTGAAAAGTTATGAATAATAAACTACGTGTGATATTAAAATTTATATATTCAATATGTTCAATAATATTATTTACGATGAAGTAACAGAAGCTATCTTTCAAGGCAATCTTCGCCAGAGTATTATTGCAAATTTAAGCATCCATACATTCTCAAAATATCTGATTTTTTGTTTGGGTCATTATAAAGTTGCCTAATAATTTGTTTGTAATAAGTGGCCAAATTTTGTCTTCTATTGTATATATATTTTATTTAGAGTATAGATTTTCTCATATTTTTGTTGTAAGTTTCTTGATTCACACTTGAGGATAGGCTTAAGTTCTAAAAATCAATAATCATTTTGCAGTATATTGACATCGGATGATACTATCCAAATATTGAGAAATACTTTTCAACTGCTTTTTAGGCATAAAAAATAGTTTATTCAGATATATTATTGTCTCTGTAAATCAGTGACTATTCCAGATAAAAATCAGCTATAAACTGAGGAGACTTTTTCATTTAGCCATATAAAATGTTAAGCTCTCTTAAAATGTTCATGCATTCACTAATTCGATTGCTTTTAGATAGCATCCTAGCAAGCTCTCTCATTAAGCTTAGGTAATTATTACTATAATCTTCAGGCTATCTTTTCAAAAAATCAATGTATTTCTAAGTATCCTCTATTAATTGATCTTATAAATTCATTTGTTTCAAGCATTATAGATACTAGTTGATTACCAGTTATTTGAAATTAAAATTTACTGATTCGTAGTTATTGCCGATAATTTACTAGAATTGAACTTGCAGAAAGTTTATTGCCTTCTAGGAATTATCTTTTTTAAGTGTATTATTGGATACATAGACAATCAGAAAATTATAAAATTAGAATTTTAGCTTTAATTCATGTGCCTAATGAGGAATTATGTCATCATCTAAGGGTTCATTTTAGCAAAATTCTATAACAATGCACTATGAACTTGAATGAATTATTTATTAGCATAGTCTAAATACCTGAGTCAGTTTATCATTTTATTGCACTATGGATATATCTAAATCTCTTAAAATATTTTCACAAAGTTCATATCAGCCATTAATAGCTAATTTAATGGCAAATTTCAACAACGCAATAGTCTTATTAATTAGTGAATCATTTTAGTGTATCTCAGTATCTGAAATTTTTTACTTGTCTTGATTCTCATTAAGCTAATTTAGGTCATTGTGACTTTGGTATATTTGGTCAACTTAATTTGTAAGGGAATTGATCTTATTAATATTTCCTAGCTTTTTTTATTAATTTACCTACATATCATCATCATCTGCTGAGGAGAATTTTTGATGATCAAAATCCTATTTTTTACCACCATCTGAAATATAGCTGATTTTAGGAGTCATTATCTTGACCTCAATCTGCTAAAAGTTTTAATTGGCTTATTATGATGGATTAGTGCAGCAACTTAAAAAATTGAACATTTTATTTTTATAATTTTATCTAAATAAAATATGCTTGTAATCTTGAACTTATTAATTTATTCCTCTTGGGGTTTTGGGGTTTTGGGGTTTTGGGG